TTACAAAAATTTAAATTCAAGTGACCAAAGGCGGCTTTTAATTCTTTTAATTCCATTTGCATATAATTGATAGTTGGACACATTAATGAATAGAGATTGTGTTACAAAATTTATCAATAAACCCGTCACATTTTGTACAACTTGACAATTTACTCACTATTCAAGATAAGTATACGAGTATACATATTATTTGAACATATAAAGATGAATATTGATATTTAAAGATCCAAAGTTATAAACCTAATCTGCAATAAATTTTTGTCTCCCTATAACTACTTTCCGAGAAAATATTTATTGCTGGAATACCCAAAATTCGTCCTTATTGACGCAAGGTCAACAATTCATTGAGTCTGGCTAATAAATTGTTGATTCATTAAATTAAAAAAAAAGTCAATAATAGGGTATTGTAATAATTAATTAATGAAGAATAATCAGATAAAAACATTAGAAATGATGATATCTGGTTGAACATTTTCTTGAATATTTTCTGTGATCAAACAATCTTCTGCTGCAGCGTTCAACCATCATATGCACTTCTATTTATGATTTGTTATGCTTCACATAATTAATCGTCAGGTATATGAAATTTGACTCACCCATATATGGAAATAAAGATTATTTTGGTAATTTACTTATTTTAAAAATTAATTTGTTCATTATACAATATTGGTTAATAATGAAAAATTAATTTGTTTTTATATTATCAAGTTCTCTGAATGTGGTGATAGAAGAACGATTACAAAATAGGAAGCCAAAACTTATCACTTATCTAGGATCAAATGAGATAAGTAATTCATATGTAATTATCTTTCGCTCAATGAAATGGATACTCATGGACCTTGTCGAAACATAGCAATTTGTTCAAGATATGAACTTTATGAGAATTTCAGAAAATACGAGAGTTGGCGTTAGTGCGATGGCTAAGAAATGCAAGTAGCTATTGACAAGGACAAGTGCAATAACCATAACTTCATATAATATGATGCGACTCATTCATGAAGTTTAAAAAGTTAAGAGTTACTTCACAATTTTTATGTGTTTTCAGGGACCAAAGGCAAATATTAAAAAAGAAAAAAAGAAAAAAAGGGGTTTTCAGGGACTACAAATTTTGTTAGTTATGCTATGTTTTCATTAATTTTTTTCCCTAATTTTTACGTATTCTCACACTTATGTCTAAATTTTGTTCGTTGCAACCTTATCATCAACCTTCTATTAGTTAACACACGCATCTTTGATGATGGTTTTTCGTTACGAGTGAGTAAAAAGACATCATTTGTCAGTTATATTTTTAAATTAGCAATAACATCAAATATAAAAGTTTGATAAAATATTTACTTTTCATTTCAAATCATACTAACAAAATATTTGGAAAGAAATTGTCATCAGTGACAATATACGTTAATTAATTAAAGATTAAAATAAAAATGCAATGAAAAAATTTGAGTGACCTATATACGACAATGAACAATGATCTATGGCTTTTATTATAATAGAAATGTCGTTCAACTAACAAAAATTATGGTGTAATGATTACCCTTAAAAATTTTATATATGAGCTTCGTGAAAATTTCATAACGTTTGAGTGTATTCCATCGGACCAGGTCGAGAAAGTTAAAAAAGATTGTAATTTAAAGTTTTAATTATTCTCTCTAGCAAATGTATTAGATTTGGTTGAACCACGTGAATTTGAATTTTATCTTTACTATTTATTTTCCTTTTTTTCGCTGCATATCTTTATTTTTTATTCCATATCGATTGGTAAGTCATTCTTAATCAATTCAATGATATACACAATTTGTCTTACCTATGCTGACTGAAGTCGATGGATAGCTAAGTTCCTTTCAACTCAATAAATATGAGTGTGAGAGATAAGCCAATCAATTTGCTTTCTTACTAACACACTGTCCACGGCCTTTTGTAGTCCACGAATCCACTAATCAAATTATTATAGTGGGGTTAGATTGTTTTAAATTTCTTGTATACTAAGGCGATTTAATAAATTGGATAAAATAATGAGTAATACTATTTATCCTCATAGGAGTTATAACAGTAGTCTATGTGCTAGTAGATAATAGGTTAAATGAATGGTGGAATTAAATGACCCATTTATTTGTACTTATAATTTAATATCACATTAATGCTATATAGATTGAGATTATAATTTCAATTAGGGGTGGGTACGGTCCGATTGGGATCCAAAATTTTCAGGTATTTAGTAAGGGGAACCATAGGGTCCAAATTTAATTATGAACCGTTTGAGTTCGGTTCCATTCCCAGTTTTTGTACCATCATTAATTTTTTAAATTCTTATAAAACTATATTAAAACAACTAATGACATATTCAATTTTAGTTCTTACAAAATAACGTAATTCATTCTTATATATCTTTTGCTTCTCTCTTTACTGAGTTTTTCATAGATTTGATTGTTAAAATTATAGGAAAAGAACAATAGCAGGCTTACAATAATTAAAAGAGGAGATGTTGAGCTTCAATTCGATTTCTACAGAATTGTAGAAACGGCACTAAGATAGAATAACGGATTTTGAGTAAAATTTAGGTCAATTTGATTAAATTGAGCTTGAACTAAAATTTAGAAATCGAAAAAAAATCATATTTTTGGGTTTGAACTAAATTAACTAATTAGCAAATTTATTTAGAAAAAAATAAAATAATTTGACTTATTTAAAATAAATAAATTTAAAAAACATTAGGGAGATTCGATTCTTCGATTTTTGATCTAGAACTTAGAACCCAACCGAACTCATCGGTTCTCAGTTCAGATATCCATTCGGATATCTAAATTAAAAAGAACCACTCTATTCGGTTTAAGTTTGGTCCGAGAGTTTTGCCCAACCCTAATTTCAAGGAACTAAATAGCATTACTCTAAAATAATGGACAAATATATCACAAATCTTTCTTTCTAAATCGTATGATTTTAGCATACTAAACATGTGGAGCTAAAAAAAAAATTGAGCATTATTAAGGAATTATAAAATGGGCTTGGTTGTCTATTTCAATTTTTCAATCAAGAGATTGTAGAAATTAATAAAAACTAATGGTGAATAATGTTGAAATTTAAATTGAATAGAATTAACCACCATATTCTATATAAGGTTAACAATCCATTGATTGTGATTGTAAAACTACTAGCCTACGCTTTTAAGTTTAGCAATTCACGATTACTACAATCTTAATATGATCTAACTCAAGTCTACTTGAAAAATCACATTTATGTTGGATGGCAGTTGTCCTGTGAAGGTAAAGTTATGATGGAAGACAATATTTATGTTGGAAGGCAGTTGTCCTGTGGAGGCAAAGTTATAATGGGTTTTGTCGCCCCTCCGGGGGTCCTGTCCGTACGTCATAAAGGGATGTCTATAAGGAGGAGAACCACATCCCGACTGTCCGACCTAAGTGTGTATAAGTTGTGTTCGCATCCGAATTTATCTGGGTGACGAACTAAGGGGGAAGACCGTCACTTCTCAGAATTAGTCAGCGAAGCTTGGACACTTGAGTTATCAAAAAAAAAAAAAAAAAAAAAAAAAAAATACTAGGAATCAAAAAAAAAAAAAAAAATCACACGAGTCATTTATGGTTTGTGGTTGATGTGAATTAATTTTTCTATCAAATTGAGATAATGATTAGTGACCAATTTTCATGATGTTGGAGACTTTAAAATAGTGATTTGATTTTTTTAGAATTTTGTTCAAAACTGATTGGTCGACTTGACCTAACCAAATGTGGGCGATAGGAACTTTTTTCGCGTAAAACAAGTCGACGCGTGTAGGACAAATTAAACCAGTTGATGTCATGGTGTTGCTTTTTTAGTGTAATTCTCAACTTCTAATTGTCCAGGCATTCAAGTTAATTGTTTCAATGGTCAATGAATTTAGATCCATATCTTTGATTGATTACTAAATATTAAAATGTCGAGTTTACAGTAAGTAATGTACAACATTTTTCAACGTCAAACATTTATGCTAGTGAATAATGTACAATATTTTTCAAAATTCAGTAACCAAAATTCAACATTTTAAATTTCAATGAACAATTGAAAACATGGACATAAATTCAGTGATCAAAAGCCAACATTTTAAACTTTAATAACCAATTAAAGACATGGACCCAAGTTCAGTAACCATTGGAACAATTTTTTCCCACGCACTCATAATGCTTGATTTTATGATATAGGGTATTATTACAATTTTGGTATAGTTAATGGTGCAAATGCATTCCACACTATTTCATCCGGAATCAAGTTCGAGAATCCATCCCAAATACAATTTGTTGGGCACCCCTTCGTTTGTTTCAAGCATGCTCTTGCATTATTGTTACCACTTCGCTCAAATATTATAGCCGAAGATACAAATGCAATTCATTCAATTGCATCCTGGATCAAGCCCAAGAATCAACATTAAGTTGAGTCCATCGGACTCATTCCCTTTTTATTCATGCTTTCGCATTATTTTCTTTCACAATACCCCTTTAATTCTGAGATTCTCCCTAGGACTTCAAAACGCAGCAAAGCCGCTAAAAACCCAACTTGAAATGCCTGAAATTCAGGTCGAAAGTATATGAAATAAGTGCAGATTTTACATTTATTTCACAGTCAAACACTCAAACTAAGCCAGATCACTTTACACCCTAATTCATACTAACAATTGAGCAAATGTGTACGATAGAAACTTTTAACAATCTTTACTCAATTTAGCCTAGAAAGTGGTTAAAACTTAAAACTGGATTACTAAAATTTAGGCAAAAGGGCAAAGCGATGCAAATGAATGTCACGCGGTTATGTGAAGATGAAAGAGAAGGAAAAGCAAACTGAAGAGTGAACCCATAGCTGACTTTTGTATGCATAAGAGTAAATGCTAATTGCTGTCTACTTTTGACTCTATGGAGAGAGATGGCCCTTTTTACCCTCAATTTTCGATTAATTGGTCAATGTATATACATCACCGTTGTCTCTTCTCTATATATATTCTAGATAGACAAAGCCCACACCCTGACTTAGACGTCAGTCTCTCTGCATATTTTCTACTCTCCATGACCACCTTCAGAAACTACAGAGAAAAAGTTGGGTTTCGAATGAGAAAAAACTCTCCATCTGAAGGACTGATTTGAAAATTTTTCAATATGGGTAGACCGCCTTGCTGTGATAAAATTGGTGTGAAGAAAGGGCCATGGACTCCAGAAGAAGATATCATCTTGGTTACTTACATTCAAGAACATGGACCTGGGAATTGGAGGGCAGTTCCTTCTAACACTGGTACTAATTTCTGTCTAAAATTGTTATCATTTGGTTTTCTTTATTATTATTATTATTAGTTATTTCTTTATTTATTATTATTACTTTTATTATTGGTTTTCGGTTGTTAGGATCATTAATGAGTTCGTTGAATATACTTCTGCTCCATCACCGACGTCTTGAATGCAAATAACAAGTTTAGATCTGTCTTTTTTCTCGATTAATTTGTTATTTACAGTTTATTCTTGTTGGTTTTCGATGATCAGGTTTGCTTAGATGCAGTAAGAGTTGCAGGCTGAGATGGACTAATTACCTCCGGCCGGGGATCAAGCGGGGTAACTTCACTGAACATGAGGAGAAGATGATTATCCACCTCCAAGATCTTCTTGGAAATCGGTATGATACTATCCCTCTCGCGCGCACAAGTTAGGTTGCGAAAGATCTAATGTTTCTTTAATTAGGGTTAGATCAATTATATAATTCAAGAACAAAAAAAAAAAAGGGTCGGTGTTTATTCAATTTTCTGAGACGAAACACTTCATATGAAGTTATAATAAATATTTTCAATCCCTAGACTTCAAGAACTTAAATTTTTGGAGATAGGACAAATTAATTTATTCATTTAGATTTTATATTTGAGAGCATAGAAATAATTAATTTGTTGTGTTGTGTTTATTTTGGTGCAGATGGGCTGCCATAGCTTCTTATCTTCCCGAGAGAACTGACAATGATATTAAGAATTACTGGAACACTCACTTGAAAAAGAAACTCAAAAAGCTTCAACAAGGTGACGATGCCAATAACCAAGAAAGGCACTCAGTTTCTGAATCAATCTCTAAAGGACAGTGGGAGAGGAGGCTTCAAACTGATATTCATATGGCAAAACAAGCTTTGTGTGAGGCTCTATCCCTTGATAAATCCAACAATAATTTGTCCGACTCAGAGCCTTCCCCAATCCAAACGTCTACATATGCATCCAGTACAGAAAATATTGCTCGTTTACTCAAAGACTGGATGAAAAAATCGCCCAAGTCATCTCAAGCAGGATCAGGAAGTACTCAATATTCCTTCAACAACCCTTCAGTTGGAACCAGTTCCAGTCCTAGTGAAGGAACACTGAGTGCAACAACACCAGAGGGATTTGATTCGCTGTTTAGCCTCAATTCTGATGAGTCCGATGAGGCTGCTGCGAATTTCATATCTAAAAATGGGGTTTTCCAGGATGAAAATCAGCCAAACTTGAACAATCAAATGCCTCTTACTTTGCTGGAGAAATGGCTTTTTGATGAGTAGCTACTCAAGGAGAGGGAGAATAGTGGACATGCTCTTGGGAGAAACTTTTAACTTGTTCTGAAGAAAAAATCTTCTTCGAAACAACTTAGCAGTTTTACTAATATTTTCACTTTTCACCATGAAAGCCTAAGCACA